CCCCCCCCCCCCCCCCCCCCCTTCCAAGCCCTACACTGTGAAGTGATACTGCCTTGAAGACCCCTGGCTGTTATTTATTTAATTAAAAACCTAATTTGAAAGTGAGTGAGAAGCCTGTCCTGTTTTTGGAGACTGAGATGCCACAGTCCTATGCGTCATGATGGCAGAAGCAAGAAAAGGGGTCCTTGCCTCTTCTGTCCGATCCTCTCCCACCCCGGGTGAGTGCTCTGCATTGCTCCATGGGCAGGGGTGCTTGTGAAGCTGTCTGCAGCAGACGTTCATGGTCCCCAAGAGAGAGGATGTCCAGGGTAGGGGGTGTGGCTGAACACTGATCTTGAGTCGGTTCTTGGGGAGGTGCCAGGCCACCTAACAACCTTGGAGCTCTGTGGAATTGCATCCTCCCATCTCGGGTGCTGTGATTGCCTGTCAGAACAGCCCTGAGATCCTGGTGCAGAAGCTGAACTCAACCTGCTCTTGAGCGCAGCTCTTTCTGCTTGGCAAGGAGCATCTTCATCCTAGGATCAGTGAAGAGCTTGTGCCTCCAGCCCGCCTGGCCATAGCCAGGTCCATGGTGCAGGCACTTCCCAGGGCCAGAGCACGCATCAGCTGCCCCAACGCCTGCGGCTCCTGTCGCCCGGGTCTAGGGCTGGTTCTTGGCACCCCTCCTTTCTCCGTTCCTGGCCCCTGCCCGCCTTCCCATGCCTTGTACCAGGGATGCCATCACAACTGGGGAGGAGGCCTGGCTTCCTTGGCTGAATTTTCCTTCCTGCTGCTGTGCGTGGAGGGGAGGGAGGTGTTTGTTGCTCTTGCAGGTGCCGCAAGTCCTCTGAAACCCTGGCAGCCTTCGGAGAGCCCGTGGTGGTGGGAGGTGGGGGTCCATCCATGTCTCCCTGGCTTCAGCCAGAAATGACATCCTGGAGGCAAGAGAAACGTTCCTGCTGCAACTGCCTTGTGTGTTTCTGCAAGAAGGCTCATTCCTCACCATAAAGCCCCTCTGTTTTGTCAGAAACTCCTTAGATACGGTTCTCCAGCTCTTGCACGGCTCTTGCCTTCTGTCCTGGGGCCGTGGGGTGGGACAGGGGCTCCCGTCTCCCTCGCTTGAAGCTGGAAAATGCCACCTGGAAAACCAGCAGGAAAGGGGTCAACCCACCCCTCATTTTGGAAGCTCTCCCTGCCCAGGGCTGGGCGAGCACCTGCTC